ATGAGACTGTTCTTATCGGCTGGGACTGCTCTGCATGGTGCCAGACATGGCTCGAACGGGATAGTAGAAGTGTAACTAGGATCGACACACGCGCCGCAATCAAATTCTGCGATAAGATGCAACTCTGATCTCGTTTCATAAACGTTCATCCCTATATACAGATATACAAAGTGATACACTGTACTGTTTCAAATAATTTAGTTTGAAGTAGAGTCCTGATGCGGAGCGCTCCCACACATGTCTTCAATCTGTTGCTCTTCTGCTTGGAGTCTCTTCAGAGTTGCCTCTAGGATCTGAGCCCTTCGTTCCGCAATAGTCATATTGGACGAAGTACTCGCACCGGATGCTCCTCCGAGTACGTGCACCGTCGCCTCCGCCATCATCTCTGCTCCAGCGGATGTAGGCATGTAAGCAGCCCCACCCAACGTATGCGTGTTATCCTTGAGATGTCTCTCGTATTCGGCCACCTCACGGTTTAATCGAGAGTTCAACTTTTTGAACTGTGAGAGATAAAATTTTTGGTCAGACCGGTCTCACTTGAGACGTGATAAAAAAAAATTATCCCACTTACGTTATCGTCATGGTCACCCCAAACGTTATGGGTCAGTTCGTGACATAAAACTCGTCTTATTTCTGCATACAAACGGAACCCATCATAGCGGTCGGTCCTCAGTCGTAAAAGGATAGCCTCGCCGGCATTCTTATTCAGGCCCAGTAGTCCTGGATGCTCGTGTGGAGCGAGCTCTGTCAAGAGTCCCACAGAAAATTTGTGTTCTTGCATGATATGCACAATGGCTGGATCCTGGGCCAGACGCTTCAAGAGTGCCTCGGCCGTGGCAGGTTCAGGAAGGTGTTGCAGAGGCTCGATCTTGTGAAAACGGTAGTTTGAATAGGCTTTCGAAGGACCAGTAGATCGAACCTGGAAGGGTCGTACATGAGATAAACGTACTTGGATCCTATGCAAAACCCTGCTTACCTTCGCACGAGGGCCGACTGCTCTAGCCTTTAGAATATCTTCTTTTCTTTTCTGTTGCTTTTCTGCTTCTAATAGTTCTCCGATGGTGCTCTCCGGATTACCTAACAGCGTTATCTTGAGCCCATTCGTAATCCCTGCGATAGCGAGCGCCGCTTCCGGTTCTACATTCTTCTTTCCCTTGTACAAGAGCTTTTGGAGATGTGGTGGGACGGATGTAAGCTCTGCGAGCTGTTCTTGCAGGGATTGCACGGTTGCATCCTCTTCGAGGGTGACGTTATACGAGTTGGAACGGTGAACAACCGTCAATCGAATAGTTGAAGACGACATGGAGAAATGATGTGGATGAGAGTAGAGGTCCAAGGTTTATAAATCGCTCGTGGAACGCGTCAGCCGCTGTATAAATGACACTCTCTACCGCGCTCTTTGGAACTCTACGCTGACTAAAGGAATTCGTAAGATGATAGCCGACTTGGATAGGCGCGTTTTTTATGTTGGTTTGACGCGTCGATTATGCTGATTTTGCGTTGGACAGACAGATTGAGCAGCTGAAACGATGCGAAATCATCAGCGAGGCTGAGGTCAAGCAGTTATGTCTTCAAGCGAGGGAAATTCTCGTCGAGGAAGGCAATGTGCAATATGTTGATAGTCCTGTGACGGTCCGTATGTTTTGTTCGTCGCTGCAACATGGTCGAAAGAGGTGGAAGAAAGAGACTCACGCGAGGTGGTCATAGATCTGTGGCGATATACATGGACAGTTTTGGGACCTCATGGAGCTTTTCTCCGTCGGTGGAATGTGCCCAGAGACTAATTACCTCTTTATGGGTGAGATTTGTCAGTTTTAGCTTGGAATATTGGGCCCTGATGGTTATTTAGGCGATTTTGTGGATAGAGGTTTCTTCTCGGTAGAGACTTTTCTCTTGCTCTTGGCCTTCAAAGTACGCTATCCAGATAGGATTACTCTGATACGAGGTAATCACGAGAGTCGTCAAATTACACAAGGTGCGGTGAACGCTCGTCTGATGGAACAACCTCTCAAAGATCACCCCCCAGTATATGGCTTTTATGACGAATGCCATCGAAAATATGGATCAAGCTCGGTGTGGAGATACTGTTGTGAAGTCTTTGATTATCTTGCGTTGGCTGCGGTCGTTGATGGTCGCGTATTTTGCGTGCATGGAGGACTCAGTCCCAACCTTCAGACCATCGATCAAGTAAGAATATATCTTATCCCTACCTTCCGTCGTCTAATGGCCAACTAGATAAGGGCGATAGATAGAAAACAAGAGGTCCCTCATGATGGTGCAATGTGCGACCTCCTGTGGTCTGACCCAGATGGCAAGTTACTGGCCTCCTAATGATCAATATCTGACCTTTTTATGTAGAGATAACTGGTTGGGGTCTTTCTCCCAGAGGTGCTGGCTTCCTTTTTGGAGGAGATACGGTCCGAAACTTTGCACGCCAAAACGACATTGAATTATTAGCCCGGGCTCACCAACTTGCCATGGAAGGATACAAGCACATGTTTGACAACCTCATCGTCACTGTCTGGAGTGCTCCCAACTATTGTTACCGGTGAGTGATTTGTGAATTTCGGGGTGCAATTTTCAACAAAATACGTCAGATGCGGAAATGTTGCGTCTATTCTTGAACTAGATGAGAGCCTGAGACAGGAATACAAAGTGTTTAATCATGCGCCATCGGTTTGTCACTCCTGTTCACAATCTCCACTCCATCTAACTTCATACAGGACGCAAGGTCAATACCGGCAAAGAGACCACCTCCAGAATACTTTTTATAAACAAAAATAATTTCTGTACATATATTTCTGTGCATCATGTCATTCAATGGTTTGTACTCGTGGCTGGGTTGCTCGCCTTTGACTCTTACACCAACCCATTGATTACCTAACATGTCCACCGTGAATGTATTTGTCATTTCACCCGATGTTCATGCCGAGAAACGTTATGATCTGCATACTACGATCGCACAATTGAAGGTAGCGCCCATATCAGATTATCCAGAAATCTCATCTCACCATTGGGGGAGAAATTAGAGCAAGCTAGAGCTCGTCACAGGCATCCCTGCACGAAGTCAAGTTCTCACAGTGCACCGAACGGACGATGATGATCAACCCCTCGCCACCTTGAGTGAAGATGACAGGCCGCTGGGGTATTATAGTGTCGTCTCGGGTCAATTCATCAAGGTACACGTGACTGGATTCTGAAGAAAGTATACTAAGACGCCAATAGGTCCAAGACACCAACCCTTCCGCATCGATGAGTGGTCGGTTCACCGATGTGTCGCAAGTTGAAAAGTTCGAGTTAACTAAAGAGGAATACGAAAAGCGCCAAGGTAATTGAGCTGATAATGGTGGTCCCAGATACTCATCGCTCGTAGACACGGTCAAGGCTTACAAGGAAAAGCACAAGATGGGCCGTTTCGCACCAAAATCTGAAGAAACAGCAGCTCCTAGCGCAGATGATATTGCTTCTCAGATGCCTATTGGCTCTAGATGTGAAGTGGTTGCGGACAACGGAGTGACCAAGCACCGAGGTACCATTCGTTTCGTTGGAGAAACCGAGTTCGGTAACAAGACCGGAGTATGGATTGGAGTCGAGTATGATGACCATTATGGAAAGAATGACGGCTCGTAAGTCCTCACGTTTCGCCTTATAACGTTCACCACATTAACGGTTTCAACAGAGTGGAAGGCAAGCGGTACTTTACTTGTCCGCCCAACAAAGGCGCGTTTGTGCGTCCCAAGCGTGTAACTGTGGGGGACTTTCCGCCGGAAGAGCTGAATCTTGATGACGAAGACGAGGAGCTGTAATAGAGCAGGGATAGAGTTGGGTCTCGATAGGAGTTGTTTGGAGAAAAGTGGAGGAAGTGTAATTTGATATCACTTTACTTTCGTTTGCATGTTCCTGGGGTACTTTATTGATGTGGAAGAAGCAGGGAGCAGGTGGATCATAAGAACGCTGGTGGGTTTAGGGGCCAAACTCGCAGCATGTATGGTTTTGAAGCTTCCACGCTTATTGTAATGGATTCTAAAGATGATTTGGGCCCAATTCGATCCTTTCATCTTGCCTCATATGAATTTGCCGGGGCAGATCCGCTCCACGCAAAGTCGTGTACCCCGTGAAATACACCAAATTGAGCGCCTTCCAGTGGTTTATGTAGTTCATATGGTTTGTATATCTGTATTTAACCAGATGGTCGTTGAAAGATGCGTATTACATGAGACAATCGGTTAGGCGGAGTTTCAAAGTACTTGATTCCTCCTCCTTCCATCTTGCGTCTGGCAATTGTAAGACGGGTCCCAGAACTTTTCAAACGGGATTCTACTTCCAATTCCTTACACCAGCCCAAGTTACGACCTATTTCCCTGCCACATTTTCTTGCTTAGCTACACAACAACCACTATGGTAACGGAAGGAACACTGAAAACTGGAGAGAAAGTCTTCGTCAATGGTAATTATCACTTTCCTTCCATTATTGTCTCGTGAAGCCCACCCGGCCTGTCCCCCAACTGGATTTATCCCCCATGTATTCCTGAGACCGAAACGATCTCTTACTCACTGATATATCCCCAGACTATGTTTATTCTGCTGCACCTTGGGAGAAACGGGACCCCGTGCCCTATTCCATCGGTCGCATAATCGAGTTCATACCCCCCGAGGAGCCGGGAGTACCTCCGACCAACAAATGGGAGATGATGCGGAAACGTGAAACTGGCCTCAGAGTTAGAGTGGCTTGGTTCTATAGACCTACTGACGTTCAAGATAAGGGAGTCGGAGATCATCGACTCTTACTTGCCGCCCTCTTCTCAGAGATTATCCCTTTCACAAATATTCGGGGGAAATGTATTGTGCGCCACCGCGACAAAATATCAGACCTCACTGTCTATAAAAAGAAAGATGACCACTTCTATTTTCATCAACTTTTTGACCCGTTCACCAAGGACAACTATGAGGTGATACTCGCTAGCGAGATACATAACTGTACGTGTTCCCCTCCTCATCGAATAGTATCATTGATCTATCTTGCATAGTGCCTAGCCAGATCAAGGATGTTCTCGTCTCTCGTTATGAGTTTGTCGTTTGTGAACGAGAGGCCCTACCAGATCTCCAAGATAATCTTCGGCTCTGTGAGACCTGCGGAGATTGGTGTCCAGGGTAAGTCTATAACCTATCCTAGCTTCTTCATTTCCTGATTAATCGCAAAAATAGGCCAGAGTCGGTTATGTGTGAACTATGCAAGAAACACTACCATATGGAGTGTGTTACACCCCCGTTACTTTCGAAACCATCCCGTGGTTATGGATGGTCTTGTGCGAGCTGCAATAATAAACGAGAAAACAATGACCTAGAAGTCACGACGGGCAAGAATCGACAAAACAAGGACCTCCAGATAGCCGCTATGAAAGCTCGGATGAAGGTCAAAGCTAACAGCAAGCTTGATGAAGAGGAAGATAAATATTGGAAAGGATGGAGTTTTAGATATTTTGGGTACGGTTATCTTGGTAATTCCCAACATATGCTGACCTTTTCCTAGCCAATACACTGTCGCAGAAGACACACTCGGTTGGTCTCTACAAAATTCAGATAACACACGACTCAATAGTATTTAGATCCTGATGATATGATCTACGTTCGAGCTCCAACGAGAATTGGCAAGCAATTTCAGACGGCAGTCCCGGAGACTCCTATGGGTGCTTCCAGTGAGTTAAGGTATACCCTCCACGGCGTATCACTAAATAAAATTTCATAGCGGATCCTGATATTCCTGTTCGTGGTGAAGACGAGACCGTTGAGCTCATGAGTGCCGTCATACATATGACAGAATCACAAGGTAAGTTCGATATACTTTTCTCGAAGATCTTCGCTCATTACTCCTCAGTGGCAGAAGGTGAGTTCTCAGGGAAATGATTGAGTAGAGGATAACCCGCTCTTCAGTTGAACGGCGCAAGAATATCCTAACTCCCAGGATGGACCTTCAACAAAATGTCGACTGGATTGAAGAAGTCATTCGACGATTCTCTGAAGCATGGGTGAACAAACAATCCTTCTATTCAGTCAATATGAGAAAGCCTCTCGTTACACGCCAAGTATGTGGCCCTGTTCGGTGATTACATGGACTGTATTGATATCCTACGCAGTGGAAAGACGGTAAAGAACAGAGGTACCGAGATAAAGATTGGAGCGAGATAGAAGAACAGATATTTGACGAGTCTGTACGAAAACACCATTCAGAGTTGCGACATGTCCGTTCGGACCTTAAAACAAGGACCATGCCCGAAATCGTCCGGCATTTTGGCCATTGGAAGACGTAAGCAATCCTAATGAAGTATTCAAGAGATACTAAAACTTATTCAGGGAGCAACTTCGAGTGCTAAGATTAACACCTCCTGACGAGCCGGTGACCACAACAGCAAAAGACGAGAACACTTCTATCTATCAGAAGAATGATAGAAGAGTTTACATCTGTGCCGTTTGTCGAACGAGAGAATCAGAGTCGTGGTGGAAGGCTCCTCGTAATCTGCCCACAAATGCTTTATGCGACGATTGTGGGATGTTGTGGCGAAAATATGCCATCAAGTCTGCCCGAGGCACTGAAAAGGAGAAGGACTACCTTACTCGAGTTCAAAATCAACATAGTCAATTTGGAACTCCAGAACCACCAACAACAAGGTCAGGTGCGAGTGGGGCAAAACTTGCCGCTGAAAAAGCAAAACGGGAAGGAACACCCTTACAAGCACCGACCTCTAAAAGACTCAAGGTATGTTGGATGCTTTTTAGAGACCCTTGCTGAACACTCTCTAGGGAGCTAGCGGCACCGTCACCCCTTCAAGGCTAACATGCTCTCTTTGCCGAAAGAGTGGGCCACAAGGCCAGGTCGTGAAGTGCGTTAAATGTGGATTTACTATACATTCCGGTATGTTTATGGAAAATGGAGTGAAATCAAAGTTAATGTTTAATAGGATGTGTTGGCGTTCCCTCAGAGGAAGCAACACCCGATTGGACTTGTGAAATTTGCTCAAACGAACAAAGCTTGGAGTCAAATCTGGTAAGGCGTACAATCTCAAGTACTTCGTTTGCTCATCACCACAGGATACGAGGTGTCTGCTTTGTCCATCTCACCCAGTTGAACGAAAGAAAGGAGCACGCGATTCAGCATTCTTCCGAGCCGCTAAACCCACAGAATTCCGTGGTTGGGTCCATATTCTATGCTCCACATTCAATCATCCCCTTGAATATACCGACGCACGGCGAATGAGACTAGTGGAAGGAATCGTTGGCATACCCCCAAGAAATTATACTCAGGTGAGCGCTCCTATCACACATCTCTATCGTTTCACTTATCAAAATATACCAGAAATGTGGTTGTTGTGGTGGCAATGATGGATGCATCTCGCAATGCGATCAATGCCTAAGCACCTTCCATCCCGTCTGTGCCTGGAATCATGGCTTCAAATTTGGGATAGAATTTTCCCCAGTAGGTAGCCCAACCCTTTAGTCCGAACCCTACTGAGTAGCCTTAGATCAAACCACATGGCCGGAGGGACTTTCCTACGGTCGAATTCCGAGGAGAGGTTGGGACGATGAGTGCCGTGATTACGTGCGACAACCACAGTACCCATCAAAAAAAGACCTATGATTTGTGTGATCTTGATGAGAAAGGAAGGGTAGGTGTGACGCTTCAAATACTGTACTATGTGCTCATCCTCTACCCAGACCGCACTACAAGTCTTCACCGAAACTTTCAAGCAAGCACATAATAGCGAAAGAACGTAGATCATATCA